CCCCAAACCCCCCTTTTCTCCCCAAAACCTCTCCCCTGGAACCCCAAAACCCCTTTTCTCCCTAAAATCCCCTTTTCCCCCCAAATCTCTCCCCCAAAATCCCAAAATCCCCTTTTTCTCCCCAAAACCTGGGAAATGCTGGAATTCTCTCGGTTCGCACACCCAGCCCGGGCTGTGAGGGGTTAAAAACAGGGATTTTTGGGAATTTAGGGCGGGCCGTGGGTGCTGGGCTGGATTTGGGATTTTTGCCCCATTCCCATCGCTCCGGGATGTTTGAAYTCTTTCCGGGAGGAATTTTTCCCAAAAAATCCCAACATTTTGGATGCAGAGCCCCCCCCTCCCCCATCACTCCGGGATTTTTGAACCCTTCCCAGAGGAATTTTTCCAAAAAAAAAGCCCCAAACCCCCCTCAAAAAATCCCGCTGGGCTCAGTGACCCTCCCCATCCCTCCAGGATGTTTTAACCCTTTCCGGGAGGAAATTTTCCAAAAAGAAACCCCAAAATTTTGAATGCAGAGTCCCATCCCCCCAGGATGTTCCAGGAGGAATAAATCCCAAAAAGAACCCCCAAATTAAAAAGAAACCCCAAAAAAAAACCCGCTGAACTCAGAGCCACCTCCTCATCCTCTCGGGATGTTTGAACCCTTTCCAGAGTAATTAATCCCAAAAAAAACCCCAAAACCCCACTGGATCCAGAGTCCCCTCTCCATCCCCCCGAGATGTTTTAACCCTTTCCAGAGGAATTAATCCCAAAAAGACCCCCAAAACTTTGGATGCACTGGGGGTGGGAGGAAGCAGAGCCCCATCCTCGTCCTCATGGGATCCTTTAACCTTTTCAGGAGGAATTRATCCTAAAAAAACCCCAAAACCCCTCTGGACTCAGAGCCCCATGGCCCCGGGATGTTTTTACCCTTTCCGGAAGAATTTTTCCCAAAAAAACCCTTTTCCAGCCCTGTCTGCCCACGGAGGACTCGGATCCCCATCCCTGACCCCATTGTTTTTTGGGGTCGCGGTGCTCATTGGGGCCCGCCTGGAGAGGAGTGGGTCCCATCCTAATTCCGGTCCTAACTCCAGTTCTAATTCATTCCGGTCCAAATTCTGGTCCTAATTAATTCCAGTCCTAATTCCCG